TCAATCCCCGGCCCCCCATCGGGGTGTGTGCAGAAGGCAGCTGGTGGATCTCTCTCTCTCTCTCTCTCCCTCTCTCCCTCCCTCCCTCCTCCTCCTCTTCCTCTCCTCCTTCCTTTCTACTCTCTCTAAAGATCGGTGAGGAAAATATCCTCAGGTGAAGATAAATAAATAAACAGATACTCATAACAAGAAGAGAAGCCTTTTTTGAAATTTGTATTTCAGGACCATTAATCACTGTTCATATCCCCAAACACTAATCAGTTTATCACATCAGCCAATCAGCTTTTTAGAGCACCTGTGGTGGTGAGCTGTCCCTGTGCTAGCTTTCCCAATTATAGAACAAAAGTACAAATAAATAAAATGACTGTGTAAAATACTGCCCTTTATTGAGATTTTTAAATGTATTGTATGGGCTATGCAAGTATTATTTATTACTTATCTACCTGCCAAGGAAATGAGGTAAGCCAGAGAGTGTCTAGTCACCCCTGACTAATAGGAGTTCAGAAAGTTTAATTGGCCCAGCAATTCCAGCAGAACAGGAAAAGTGTTAAAAACGAGTTTGCCTTTAACTTTGGCTCTGTTATAAAATGTTGGATCAACTACATTATGTTCTAAAATAACTGCTCATTAAAGAGTTCCGTGGGGAGGAAAGAACAGTGGGGCGGGAGGAAGAGATAGTAGGAAGTATGCTCTTTTGGACTTCAAAGGATCAGGCTGAGATCAACAGCATTCAGAACAGCAATAAGCCTTTGGGAAAGTTCATGCTTTCTCACACAGGCCGGGGAGCCAGCCAAGGCACTGGGCCAGGACTCCTGGAGCTGATGAACAGCCAATTAGTACTGGGCGTGCAGCTAACAGTGAAGATGGGGTCCCACATGCCATCCCTTTGGAGGACTGAAGTGAGCTCTCGATACCTCTGTGGATGCTTAAGACACATCCAAAGATACGAAATTAATATCTGTAAGTCCAAAGCATGAACAAAAGGCCTCCACCTCTCTCTTCTCATGTCTTTCATTCCCCTCCTCTGGAATGAATCTAATTCAACCTTTCAAATCATTTCTGTTGTTCCTCCCTCCCCTGCTTCCTGTCCCTAAATGTGGCCATTCCCTGAATTACACCTCTGCCTCTGGTCCTCTACACACACCATCGTTTGGAATGTCTTTCACTCTCAAGTCTTCCATTTTGACTTCTGTGTAGATAATTCCTTGGTTGTATATACTCATTCTAGTTCTGGGCCCATAATTTCAATTGCCGGCTAGACATTGCCTCACCTCATACTCAATATATAAAATTTAGTTTGGTGTCTTTCCTCTTGACTTCCCCATTTCTCTTAATGATATCCCTTGCCACTTTCATTCAGACTCAAAATCATGGAGTCATATTGTAATATTCTCTCCTCCTCTCTCTCTCGGTCTCTGTTTCTCTCTCTAACTTTTAACATCCAATCTCTCAAATTCTTCAAAATGTGTTTTGTGGGAGTTTTTTTTGGCATCTACTCTTCCCTCCCATTTCTAACATCACCACCTTAGTTCATTCAGATCTTTATCTTTTTATTTCCTTAATTCTGAGATGTCTATGTTTTCACGATTTTACATACTTAAACTCAAGATTTATTTTTAATCATTGTACACATTTAATGTAGAGATTTTTTTATTGTAATTAAGCAAATATGGCATCTCAGACCTGGATTACTGTGCTTCTCCCTGCTCTTCCAGCCTGCATTCCCTGCTTCTTGAATCTGTCCTGCACACTACTGCCTGATTCATCTACTTAAAAGCCTGCTTTCACCAAGTCATTGCTTTGCTTAAGAAAAACTTCCATGTCTCCCCATTCCCTGCTGGGTAAAGTATGCCTAGGGGGTCAACTTGGCATTGAAAGTCTCCAACGATCATGCCCTGACCTCTTCCCAGCCTGACCAACATGACTCCCCTCCCAGGTCCTTCTGCCCTGGACAGATTGCTGTCTGCCTCTGTTGATGTCACTCCTGTTATGCCCAGATTTCAGGATCCCCAAGAAACCACACCAGGGAGCCAGCCTGTCTGATGTAAAAGCATAAGAGTCTGTATTCGAGCTAGCTCGGCTCCCCCACCTTGCCGACACAGCAGCAGGAAGCAGAGAGAGAGCGAACTCTGTGTGGAGAGGGGTTTTATAGGGGGTTGGAGTAAGGGGAGGAGAAAGGGCTGTGGGCCTTGCCGATTGGCCAGGCGCAAGTCGGTGTCTTGTTCCTGGGTGTGGCTAGCAGAGGCTTAGACTTCCGGGAAGAAGCTCCTTGCCAAGCACATGGCCAAGGTAAGATGGAGGGCGTAGCACTTACCCTGGGGCAAGATGGAGGGCGTAGCCCTTACCCTGGGGCAAGATGGAGGGCCTAGCCCTTACCCTGGGGCAAGATGGAGGGCCTAGCCCTCGCCCTTTCAACTCCCCACAGTTAAAAGGCGATTCCTCAGCTGCTTATACCCTACTCAGACTTCAAGTCCTTCTCTGTTGTGAAGTTAGCTCTGTTAGGTATACTTGTCTCCCTGATATATCCTTATCCTTGAATCATGACTTATTTAAGAAATACAGTCTCATCAGCATTGAGTCAAATGAGGAGATCACAACTCTTATCGAAGAGTCATTTCCATCCCCATTCTTTTCCCTCTGGCTAGTCCAGTTCACTTGCATTCAACTTCCCCCACCTCCCCTCTGCCAGCACCGAAGCTAATGATCTTAGTAGTATTACAACAAGGTTGCTTATCTTTATAGTGAATCGAGTGTAAAAGAGCATGGTGAGTTGAGGAACAAAGAGAAATTTAGTGGTGTTATAAGATAGATGTGTGGAGGCAGAAAGCAGCTGGACATGCAGCTAAGATGTGGGGTAAGGCCAGGTCAGTGGGGGCCCTGAGTGATGTCATGCTAAGGAGGCCAGGCTTTCTCCTCGCTAGAATTGGGAGGTTTCTTTAATCATGAGAGTGACATGATCATATTTGCTTCATTAGAGTTGTGGAAGATGAGCTGGGAAGAGGAGGAAGGACTAGAAGAAGGGAGGCCAGTTAGGAATTAATATTTCAGGACCTGAATTAAGGTGATGGACATGGAAATGAAGTGTGAGCGAGAGGACAGAATCAAAAGAATGTGGAGAAAGAATGGACAGAACGTGGTGGCAGAAGGAATGATGATGGAAGAGAATAGCTGATGTTTCTACTTCAAAAAACTGGGTGACTGGCAATGCTCTCATCTGAAGGAAAGGAGAAGCAGGCGTGGATGGGCTAGAGGAGCCGAGAAGCTGAGCTCTGATTAGGACATGTTGAATTTGCAGCACCTAAAGGACATTTTCATAAGATTGAGGACCTGGAGAAAGATATGTGATGAGGCATAATTCATCCCCCAAACTTTATATCTATTTTTTTAAAATATATTTTTATTGATTTCAGAGAGGAAGAGAGAGAGAGATAGAAACATCAATGATGAGAATCATTGATTGGCTGCCTCCTGCACGCCCCCCACTGGGGATCAAGCCCGCAACCCAGGTATGTGCCCTTGATTGGAATCAAACCTAGGACCCTTCAGTCCGCAGGCCGACGCTCTATCCACTGAGCCAAACCAGCTAGGGCTATATCTATTTTGAAATCCATTGTTACTTCTAGCCCAAGGCACCCAACTGCATTTCTTGTCCTACCTGTCTCACCAGCTTTTCTAAGGCCCCTGACTCCCGGTCTGTTATACATTTACTCTTGGCCAGTTCAGAGCTCTTTTTATACTACTTTACACAAAGCAGTTATCTCAATCTTAGACAGTTGGACTCAGACATGATTAAATTTACTTTTACAGGATAAAGTTCTGCGGAAATCCGGGGACGTCAGTTTATTGTGTTTAACTCTCAGTGGGGCTTTCCTGGCCCTGTGCCCTCTTTGCCAGCTCACTTTTTCCAACTGTCCAGTCTTTCCTACGCTCCAGCTGCTCTTCTCTTAACCCCTTCTTTACACTTTTGGTCACTGTCTCATTCTTGAAACTTCCTTTTTCCTGGGTTTCCATGACACCTCCTGATTTTCCATCTACCTCAAATCTCTCTATACTTCCTCAAACGTCTCCTTTTTTTTTTTTAAATATATTTTATTGATTTTTTACAGAGAGGAAGGGAGAGGGATAGAGAGTTAGAAACATCGATGAGAGAGAAACATCGATCAGCTGCCTCCTGCACACCTCCTACTGGGGATGTGCCCGCAACCAAGGTACATGCCCTTGACCGGAATCGAACCTGGGACCCCTGAGACCGCAGGCCGACGCTCTACCCACTGAGCCAAACCGGTTAGGGCCTCAAACGTCTCCTTAAAAATTAATGTTTCCTAGGAGTCCCTATTTAGCCTTTCTTTCATCTCATTTTAGTAAACATCCAGTGTGACCCCATCCTCTTGCATGGCTTAATACAACCAGTGAAATTTGTTTCTAAATCTGAATCTCTAGCCCAGTCTTCTCCATTCAAACGCAAACATCCAACTCCTTTGCGGGCATCGTCATGTGACTGAGTTCCACAGGCACTTCCATCAGCTCGCTAAAATGAAGTTTTTTCTTCTCCATAAACTTGGGCTTTCTCCAGAGAATGGTATTATCATCCACCTCTAACCTGGGAGGAATCCTTGACCTCTCCATCTTTATCTCCCAAATCAGTCTATCATGAAATCCTATCAACTTTAGATTTTAAATGAGCATTTTCCTAGAAGAGAACATGGTGTGATTGAAGGGAACAAGAAGGGGGCAAGAATAACATGAAAAGGGGAGGACTAGCCTGACAGGAGGGAAGTTTTGCTGAGGAATATCGGAAAATATCAAGTGGGAGGGAACCTGGGAACAGAGCTTAAAGGCGATACACAGTATTTCAGAGTTGAAGTATGTGGTCAGAGAACCACCAGATACCAGCAGGTGGGTGAAATGGTCATTCCAAGGCACATTTTTTAAAAGTCAGCCACTTGAAAAATGCAAGTCAGAGCAACTCCTACCTTTGTAACTAGAAACAACCATTTCTTAGGTTTTATTGACGACATGAGGAAAAAACTAAGAAGTTCAAACTAGAAGTTCAGAAAATCTGACCTTGAATTTAAATGTAAGTACAAATGCTACTAAAAAATAAATTTTCATTGAAGGAGGCAAATTGAAATTAGGCTTAATAGTATAGCTAGAAGTAGACTATGTTGAAAATAATTGCAAGAATGATATTTGATTGAAAAGTGCTTACAAGCCATTCCTTAACTATAGATCATCTTTAAATTGAATATATATATACATATATATAATCACCAAATTGAAATGTGATGATGATTTCCTAAAACATCGGAATTTCCACATTTCAACAAAAATGCAGGTTAAATAAATGACATTATAATACAGCACACTATCTGACATACTGATCAGCACGGTCATTTCCATTTTATTTGGACATTTGGATACCATATAACGCAGAGTAAGTGCACTCCCTCCCTAACGTGGCTAGTTAGTAGTTGAATAACTGGGAGAAAAAAGCACAGACCAGGCAGCTCCACGTACCATGCTTCAAAAGCAAAGGAACAAATAAAAAGAGTTGCAGCAAACTTTCACTTTGGGAAATAAACTACATTGATGAAGCAGAAGGTTCCAGAAGCAGGAGCAGATCCACTTCCCTGGATGACAGAAGGAGGACAGTGAAGGAGAGTTCGTGTTCAGCTTTCAGTTTAGAAATGCCGGGAGGCCGTGCGTTTCAGCGCAGCAGCCAGGAGACGAATGGGAACCAGAAAATGACCGGCATGCGTTGGCAGTGATGATGGAAGTGACCGGTTTAGAACCAAAGCTCTCCTCTTCTCCCTTTGTTTCCCATTGCAGTTTCCATGACAAAGCTCCCCAACTGCTCAGTTACTTACATGAGGTCCTGGAAAGCCCAGCTCCTGGTAAGAACACACACTGATTTCCATCCCGCAGCACCAGCTCTGGACCCAGCGTTGTTGAGTCAAGGAGCAGGGCAGCTGTTTGTTCTGCTGGTTTAGCTGCAACAGAGCCGTCACTAATAAGCGTCTGATTCCCCGACTAAATCCTGGGCCCCGCCTCTCTGAAAAGGAAGGAAAAAATATGTGGCTCTAAATTGTTCCTGTCTTCCTGGACAGTAGCTTGCAAGGAGGAGGACATTGAGTGTCTGAGTGGTCCTTCCCTGTTTTTGATATTTCTACCTGATGATTTTATTTTCCACTAGAAAAATTAGTTTCTTCTGAGTTTCATGAAGACAGAAACAAAAAACTACATTCAAAGTCTCAATAGTCTTTTCACATTGTTTTCACACATGACCCATTCAAAATATTTATTAAGATACCACCTTAAGCAGAAAAGTAAAATAAAGACATTAAACTAGGGATTCAAGTTTTCTTAATAGTCACAGGCCTCGACATATTGAATACCCTTAGTTTCATGAGATTGAAGGAAAAAAATTAATATTGTTGCATTTTATCTAAGCTACATTAAAACTGTTTCTACATTTTTTAAATATATTTTTTTATTGATTTTTACAGAGAGGAAGGGAGAGGGACAGAGAGTCAGAAACATGGATGAGAGAAACATCGATCAGCTGCCTCCTGCACACTCCCCACTGGGGATGTGCCTGCAACCAAGGTACATGCCCTTGACCGGAATCGAACCTGGGACCCTTCAGTCCTCAGGCCGACGCTCCATCCACTGAGCCAAACCGGTCAGGTCTGTTTCTACATTTTATAAAGGGTGTACTTTGCCCTTTGGTGCTCAGGGACCTCCCATGACCTGGGTGGGGTACAGACTAATGATCTGCTATTTCTATATGTTTGTTCAAACACATCACCAGCTTAGCCTTATATACCATGCAACTTTACATTCTACCTCAGGAAAGCTAAAATAAAACGTCAGCGCAGCCGGCGTGGCTCAGTAGTTGAGTGTAGACCGATGAGCCAGGAGATCATGGTTCAATTTCCTGTCAGGGCGTATGCCTGGGTTGCAGGCTCTATCCCCAGTGGGGGAGTGCAGAAGGCAGCTGATCAATGATTCTCTCTCATCACTGATGTTTCTATCTCTCTCCCTCTCCCTTCCTCTCTGAAATCAACTTTTTAATATAGTTTTTTAAATATAGTTTTTAAAGTAATCAATTTTTAAGAAGAGAACACTTTATACTGCTGTTTTTAAGGACTGATGAGTAGGGCTTCTGGTCAGAATGGCAGAGTAGATAAACGCTGGACTCACCTCCTCTCACCACATCAAAATTGCAACTAAACTACAGAACAACCCTCATGGAGAACTGCCTGAAGTCCAGCTAACCTAAGAAGTCCTATAACGAAGGATGTACCTTATGGAAGAAGCCACGTCAAGACTGGTGGGAGGGGTGGAGACACAACCGGCTGGCCCCACACCTACCTGTGGCAGTTAGAAACTGGGAAGGCTATCTTAGCAGCATGGAGGTTCCCCATGAGGAGCAAGGGGTCCCAGCCCCATACTGGATCCCCAGCCAAGGGTTCCAGGACCTGGAAGAGAAGTCCCCTAACTTCTGGCTGTTAAAACCAGCGGGGTTGGTGGCTGAGGGAGAAGGAGAGCTGCTGGAGTTCCAGGGGTTCCTCGTAAAGGGCCGGCACATGGACTTACTGATGGATTCATTCGCTCTGAGCTTCAGGGCTGGGGTAGCAGCTCAAAAGGTGCGGGGGACATATGGAAGGAACTGAATTGCCTGGCTTTAAGGCAAGGGCTGGAGGGGCAGCTTTCTCCCAGACAAAAGTGCTAACAGAAGCCACTATTCCTTTGCCAAGCCCTCCAGCTGCAGGCACAGGCCAGTGCCATATGAGTCTCTATTAACCTGGCCAACATTGTTTGATTCTCCCTGGTGATTTCCTGAGACCCTGCTCCACCCAACTTTTAGACCCACCCAAGCCACTTCCCATTGCTTTTCTATACTAATGGCCTGTCTTGGCTCATCCTGTGGACTTTCCTAAAATCTCTCAAGGTTCACAAATTCCAAACAAGCAGAATCCGGCCTCAGCATGCCCCATATCTCATGCTAAGCAGCCCAAGCCTGGCACTAGTGGCAGCTGGCCTCAGTTTGCAGCGTAGCCTCTCCCAGGCACCTCCAAGCCCTGCACAAGTTGCAACCATCTGCAGATCACTTTGTAGCTCATACCAGGTGGCCTGGGCAAGGCACAGGCAACAGCTGACCTTGGCCTGCACCTCCCATGAAGCCCCAGAACCAATACATTCAGACCACACTAGAGCACCACCCAACCACTTTCACAAACCATGATTCTCTCTCATCACTGGGGTTTCTGTCTCTCTTCCTCTCCTTTCCTCACGGTGAAATAAATAAAAACAGATTTAAAAAAAAAAAAAGAATCTATAGTATTCAGCCCTGGCTAATGTGGCTCATTGGTTGGGTGTTGTCCTGTGTACCGAAAGGTCTCCAGTTGATTCCTAGTGAGGGGTGTGTAGGAGGCAGCCGATAGATGTTTTGCTCTGACATCCATATTTCTCTCTCTCTCCCTTTCCCTTCCCCTCTTTCTGAAAATCAATGAAAAATCTTAAAAGGGGGGTGGGGGGAAGAACTTACAGAATTCAGATATATGGTCTTTACTATTTAACTATTCTACTATTATGAGGCTCTTTACTATTCTTTTCCCCTTGATTCTTTGCTTTTCCATATAAATTTTAGAATCAATTTGCCAAGTTCTATGAGAAATTTCAATTTGAATTTTTATTGGTTTAATTACTTTTTACACTTTCTCTGTCCCTATAGAATGAAACCTCCTTGATGACAAGAGATCATGTCTGTAATGTTCTTTTTAAAAAATATTTTTAAATCGATTTTTTTAGAGAGAGGAAGAGAAATGGATAGAGAGATAGAAACACTAATAAGAGAGAAACATCAATCAGTTGCCTCCTGCATGCCCCCTACTGCGGATCAAGCCCACAACCCGGGCATGTGCCCTGACTGGGAATCGAACCCTGACCTCCTTGTTCATGAGCCGACCCTTCGTTCATGAGCCACACCGGCGGGCATGTCTGTTTTGTTCTTACTGTGTTCCAGCACACAGCTCAGTGCCTGGAGTATGGTGAGTGCTCAACAAACATTTGCAGAATGGTCGGATGAATGAACAGATGAATAGCATAATGACTCAACATAAAATGTTTTGTAGGCATGTAAATTTTTATTTTCAAAGTATAGTTAATTATGGGAAAATGTTCACAAGATATTAAGTGAAAAAATTAGGCTTCAAAATTTAAAATGACCCTACTATTGCAAGCTGTATATATATACCTACAGAACACTAAGAAAGAAATAAAAAATAACAGTAGTTGTCTGGGTAGTAAAATTGCAGATTGTTATTTTTCTCATTTATGCCTTTCTAAATTTTCTACAACTTGCATATAGCTTTATAATAAAATAATAGACATTGTTAAAAATAATAAAAGAAAATATCACGCCGAAACCGGTTTGGCTCAGTGGATAGAGCGTCGGCCTGCGGACTGAAGGGTCCCGGGTTCGATTCCGGTCAAGGGCATGTACCTGGGTTGCGGGCACATCCCCAGTGGGAGATGTGCAGGAGGCAGCTGGTCGATGTTTCTCTCTCATCGATGTTTCTAACTCTCTATCTCTCTCCCTTCCTCTCTGTAAAAAATCAATAAAATATATTTAAAAAAAAAAAGAAAAGAAAAGAAAATATCACAATATTTAGAGTTTGGGAGGCGGTGCTGTGTAAGTCCATTAGGTTGAGACACGAACTTCTAGTTAAGGTTGGAGTTTTGTCAATATACAAAAGGAAATTTTAAAGTTTACTTTTACTTAAGAATAACACACATACAAGAAAAGGGCACAAATCTTAAGGTGATGAATGAATTATTACAAGGCAAACACCCTGTGTAACCATTGCCCAGAGCAGAAAAATGGACAGTGCCAGCACCCCAGAAGCCAGCTCGGGGACCCTGACTACTCCCTCCCTCCCCCAGGAGCACTCCCTGGGTCCTGCAGGAGCCCCAGGCTCAGGCTGCCAGGCAGGCCCCGGAAGCCACTGGAGAAGCAATCAGAGACACCTCTAGGGGAGGGGAGAACCTACTGCCACCCCAACCTACCTCCCCAACTGGAGCACCCGGCCAGTGCCAACGTGTGGTACCGACTTCCCAAAGGAGGAATGCAAGGACACATACAACAAAACTCAGAAACACCTCCAGACTCACTTTCCCTTCCCTCCCCTCACTGCCTCCCCCTGTGACCCCAGAGAAGGGACAAGGTCAAACGCCACCACAGCAAGGAGACGAGGCAAGAAAAATTCTTGCAAAGGGAGAATAAATCCACTTCTTCCAGGCCTGCAGAGGGTGGGAGGAAGATGGGCGAGGCTTGGGGGAGCTGAGAGAGGGAGCAGGGGAGCAGGACTGTGTTTTGCCCTCCCAGGCTGGAATCTGGGGCGTAGTTGAGGGTGCTGATGGGTTAAGAGGGGATTTTACCTACCTCGCCATTTGGGACTCCTGGCTCCTGGGCTGTGTCACCACCACACCACACAGTGGTTTGTAAACAACAGAAACTTACTGCTCACAGTTCTGGAGACTGAAAGTCCGAGATCAGGGTGAGGTCTGCTGAGAGCCCTCTTTCAAGTTGCAGACTGTGAACACCTCGACTTCTTGCCTCCTCCTGTGCTGGAGCAGAGGGAGAGCCCATGCTGGCCTCTCTCATAGGAGCACCAATCCCATCCCCCACGAGGGCTGCCCTCTCCCGACCTCATCTACTCCTAATTACCTCCCCAAGGTCCCCCTCCTAACACCCTCTCATCGGAGGGGGGAAGAGGGGGTTAGGGGTTTAACATATGAATTTGGGTCAGGGGACACAAACATAAATTCAGAACAATGCCTCACAGGTGGGCCCCTCCACCCCTGCCCTATCTACCTGGGGTGGCTGCAG